TTAATGATGACAAATTATCATCGTACATGACAAATTATAGTACATTTTCTGTCCAAAACTTTTTATGGAGACTGTAGATAAGTGTGTACTTGTATTTTGACAATGTTCTATCTTCTTTATACTGGGGGCATGTGTACACTTTACTATGGAGTTGACTAATTAGCTCCACAGTAAAGCATTACTGCGTACGTGTGCAATGCTTTTAGATTGGAATAAACTAATTAACTCCATCACAGGATAGTACTTCCCAACACAAGTGCTATCCTACAGCGGAGTTATTTAGTGCACTGCAACCCACGTATAGACAGTGACTGGGGTTGGCTGGGGCATGAGGGTGCTACAGTGCAGGGGCTGCCTGCCAGCTAGCCCCCGCACTATAGCATCCTTGTGCTCCAGTCAGCTCCTCCACAACACACTGAGCCAAGGCAAAGCAGCTCTGGGCTGGCAGGCTGACCCTCCCAGGGCCCTTGCTAGCTGGGGCTGCTCCGACCCAGTTCAACATGCTGCAGTCCTGGGCACACATGTAAATGCTGCAGCCAGGAGCAATAAACTCCAATGGAAACTGTGCCAGAGTTTATTCAGGCACTAATTACACATGTAGATACACCCACTGTGTATATAATTAACTATTTGATTTCAACTACAATAACATGTTTGCTAATTTAAGGTTTCCTAATATGACAGTTTGTCCACAAAAGAGGCAGTATGGTAACTTCAATTCCTTTGGCTACAGATTGTTTTCTTGCTGTTGCTAATATGAATGTGGGGCAGGCATCAGGGGAAAACAAAAACTTGGAACATTTATAAAAAATGTCTCTTGTTGGCAGCTTTCAGTTTTCTTTGTTGTTTATATCTTAAAATGTTGCTTTCATATGTTTCCTGTTATTCTGCTGTGAAATGACTTCCTGAGATTTCTGAAGCACTCTTTTTATACAGTCTTTAATCAACAGCTGAAAAATCATCTGGTAGGCAAAATCCTCAGGACCAGAACCTTCCCAAGTTGTTCTGACTTCCAGAACACAATGGATTCCACCCCCCCAGCCCCCCATTCCATTTTTGGTTCCAGACCATGATAGCTTCTAAACACTAGATTTACTATGCACTTAAGATGTCGTATAGATTTAAGTTCAGTGACTCCTGTTTGCAGGCCCTAGATCCTTTCCTCTGAATGTTGTATTCTTTTTTCTGTATGTTGAATATTTTCTAAAATTTACTTTTTATACTCAGCATAGAGAGACTTAATTTATGAGGACAAACTTCTCTTAGATTACAGGAGACAAATAGATATTTAATAAGTGAGAAAATAAAGTCTTACTTGTACTTGTTTTGGACACGTTTTATTTTCTTCTTTCATTAATGGCTGGCCATGACAAATTTCTTTCATCAGTGCCAGTAGAAGCTGCAAAAAGAAAGGGGTCCTTTTGCGTGTTATTTCCTACCTGTGCATCTCTTCCAAGCTTCCACTCATTACAGCAATCTCCATCTCTTTCGTGTTGATTCATGTGTCAGTCAAAATGCAGTCTTCCAAATGAGCTGAAATGAAAAATACATTGAGGTTTATCCTTCACTAGGATTTTTTCACATTGTATGCTTTCGTAATCGTTGGGTTACAACCTCATTTTTCAGCCACCCTTGCTTATATGTCTCAGGTTACATTTTTTTCATCTGATTGTACCGTGTCATTTACAAACTTGTAAACACCTAAACAAGTTGAGGACAAGCAATTAGCATTCCACCCAAGTAATACTTTACCACAGCAGCCTGTCCGCTTGCCCCTCAAAAACAAGTTGTCCTGGAGGAGGCAAGATGGTTTTGCTGCAAGCAGCAAAACAATATTTGACACAATGGACACAAAGCTTTCATTTGCATTTAGCTCTCCACAGGAACCTGTCAACAGTCTGCTTAGGGAATAAACCAAATAGCTGGGTTTCATAGCCACCCTCACTCCATCCACTTCTGACTAGCACAGCCCATTCTTGGGCTCCACTTGTCAGAGAAATGACTAGGGTGTGCGAAACAGGCCATATTCAATTTGGATTCAGCCCGAATTGGGGACAGTGATTTGATTCGTTGATTTGGATCACTGTCCCTGATTTGATTCAGCTGAATCTGAAGATTTGATGCTGATTCAGAGAATCAGCGATTCAGACATAGACACAGCTTTAAATATTTTTTCTACATACGTCGAGGTACCAGGTGTGGCTCATGAACGCTGCAATGGTGGGGTGGATGGAGCGTCCCACAGGAATGCGGGGAGCCCCCTGCACACTTGGCAGCAGACCTGGAAGTGGACTGGAGTACTTCCGGTCCACTTCTGGGTCTGCCACCAAGCATGCAGGGTCCACGCCCCCACCTCCCCCGAGTCCCCTCCCGCCTCAACGATTGGCCATGGGGGGACCCTGGGTACCCTCCCAGAACCAGGAGGCACCAGTCACCAAGCCGGGGGGAGGGGGGAGGCAGCGCACTCCCCGGCAGACCCGGAAGTGCTTCTGGTCTACTTCCAAGTCTGCTGTTGAGCATGCTGGGGACCCCCCTGCGCTTCTGTGGGATGCTCCATCCACCCCACCATCACAGCATTCACAAGCCACCTGGTACCTTGAGGTATGTAGAAAAAACATTTAAAGCTGTGTCTATGTCCAAATCTTTCCGAATCAATTCAGAGAGATTAAAGGGTCTCCGGATTTGATTCTGATTCAGAGATTCAGCCACCAAATCAGGCCAAATCGAATCGGGGACCAAAGATTTGCACAGCCCTAGAAATTACACCTGCCTTTTTACTGCTCTTGCCTTCCCACCCTTTTCACTTCGAAGATTTTCCATCCAAGAGCAATGTAGCTTCATTAACATTTGTAGAAATCATAACCTGAATCACTCATAGCTTGAATTACCTGTATACATAACCTAAAACAAGCCTCTTATATTCATTAGTGTTTACTTGGCAGTACTTCCTCTTGCTTTTCTCCTTTTTACATTTCAATTTACTTTGTCTGGGTGTACTGTACTACTCATCTGGCTACTATCCCAGACACTCTGGATGATATCAGTCTATTATGATGCCACTAGAGTATAAGTACAACTGTAAACTGTAGGTCTGCCAAGCAAAATCATTTAATAAGCCTTATAATTTTATTTGAGAGGTGACTCTAAAGGATATATTCAACTGTTGGTGTCTGTGAATTTCCACATGTAATGTCCATTAATGTTGAGCTAATATTTAGCAAGTGCTTTAATATTTGGAACCACATTTTATAATGGAGAGTCTCCCAATTTTGAACCTACACTTATTTCTTCTTCTTGGTAACAGTTGTGTTTGCATGGAACAATATGATGTCCACTGTCCTAATTTCTAGGTCACTTTGCAATGTGCAGTTTTGTTTGTTTTTACTACCCATAAGTTTCGTATCCTCTGCACATTTGATCATACAAAAGGAAAACTATCAACATGGAGAGCTATGTAATTTGTATTTGGGGAGAGATACGCTATTTAATTTTTAATTCTGCTCAATAAAAAGGGTACTGTCAACACTAAGAGTGTTCAGAATATGAAGTACCTACTGCTTAAAAACTCCCTGGGCGCTTGTACATGCAACAATGTCATGATGCTCACATGATGAAAATTTCCCTTTGTATGGCTTAATGGCATTACACGTACAAAAGTTTTGGTGGTTTAAAATGAGTTTGCATTGTTGCAAACTAAACTACATCCCAGTGTAGTTTAGTTTGCAATGTTGGAACTTGGAATGTTGCAGCCACTAGCTCACCCCCTGGCTGCAGGAGACGCAGGCAGGTTCTGCAGAAAGAAAGGATCAGGCCCCTCGCAGCTTCTGCCTTCAGCAGGCTCCTGCAGCCAGCAGGACACCTGGGGCTGCCCAGGAATGAGCTGACTTTCTGCTGGGGCAACATGGGGAGACAGCAGGAAAGCAACTGGGTGTGCTGGCAGCTAGAGAAGAGGGCAGGAACAGGACACAGAGATACCTGGGTGGGCTGCTTGCTTCCCGGAGTCCGTTCAGGCTTCCACCATCCCGTGCACCATCCCCGCCACTTTCTCTGGCCGCCAGCACACCCAGCTGCCCTCCCTGCCACCTCCCTGCAGTGCCCCAGGGGCAAGCCAGCTTGTTCCTGGGCAGCCCCAGGAGTCCTGCTGGCTGCAGGAACCTGCTCAAGGCAGAAGTAGTGAGGGGCCCAGTCCTTTATTTATGCAGAGCCTTGCCCACCTCTCCTGTGGCCGGGGGCAAGTTGACAGATTAGTTCTCCTCCGCAGCTGCAGGAGAGGTGGGCAGGCTCCACTGGGGGGGAAAAAAAGGATCAGGCCCCTTGCCGCTTCTGCCTTCAGCAGGTGCCTGCAACCAGCAGAACAATGTCATATGTACAGTGTTGGAAAAATAAAACCCACCTTTCAATTTAGGGGGCATAGAATGCAAACCTAAGACCTAAAACCACATCATGTGTACGAGTGCCTCCTAATGTTTCACCACTAGGACAGAAGTAACACTGCAGGCAATCAGAAAGTGTTCCACAGCCTACAGAGTGAAAATTAATGCAGTAAACTCTTTGGAGAGTAAATGCCTGTGCAATAGACAAGCACAGATGCACTCACATATATATATGTGTGTGTGTGTATATATCTATCTCAGCATTGGAATTAAATAGGTGTTAATACAACTAATAGAAATCAGTAAGTTTTTCAAGTCTCTCTAAAAATCCCTTGCCCTTTTAATAGCTTAACTTTAAATGTCATGGCTGTTATGATGTCACCACCTCACTATTTCCAACTGAGACAGGGCCTGACAATTTAATGAGAAAAAGGGGGGAAAAAAGGAATTAAAGAAATGAAAAATCCAGGCCAACTGTACCTTACCAAAGAGGCAGAAAAGGCACATATATAATTTTGTTTCCATTTGCTGGTTAGCACTGAGGGAGAAGGGGGTTGGGTTGAGGATGAGGGTGACTGTTTTTGTTTGCTTATTTTTTAAGTGATCACAGCTTTGTTTTCCCAACAGAAGATACAGTACCAAAGAAGGTGGTGTGCCACTTCAATGGAAAAACATATGCTGATGAAGAACGTTGGGACATTGACAGCTGCACACATTGCTACTGTTTGCAGGGTCAGACCCTTTGCTCCACTGTCAGTTGCCCACCTCTCCCATGTGTAGAGCCCATCAATGTTGAAGGAAGCTGTTGTCCCATGTGTCCAGGTAATAAGAACATAGCCCTAAATTGGACAAGTTATGTTGTTTTTCAAGGTTGTAATCAGCTTTTTATATAAGCTGTGATTCATACAGAGTGCTGCATATTGAAGATATCAGGAGTGTTTCTTGTATCACAAAAAACAGCAGCACAGGATAATTGAGGAACTAAATACTCACTGTAGATAGACAAACACCGTACAATAGTATAGCTCTTGAAACCTGTGAATTAAAAAACTAACTGCTTGCTTTTCTTCACCAACTGACTTATTCATAAATTTTGGGAGAAGAGGGGAAAGCAAAGCATGATGGTCAAATGGAAGAAGATATATTTGGATTCCTCTGTAGATCTACAGGTGTCTGGCATTTCTTTTGCCCCAGCAATTGGGAATTTCTTCCCAAACTGATTTTATAAAAAACATACTTTTGATATAATGGGACAATTTCTTATGTCCAAGTGAATCAAAGGAATTTGTTGCAACTTCCTTATTCTGGTTCTGACTTATTACTGCAGATTTGCACTTTTATTTCTGTCAGTTGATAACCTCTAAAAGACTATCTGTGAGTTGAGCTTCAGCTCTTCCCTTTTCAAACCCATTATATACCTCAAATATTGGGAACTCAAATACTTCTTACTACAACCTTATTTGAAGACAACTCTACACCAGTTGGGAAAGTTCAGCTGTGTTCCTGGCCTTTAATGTTGGTAGAGTGGGATTAATGGGAGCAGAATCTTGGAATCTAAGGAATATGACATAGTATATTACTACAAGATATTTTAACCAAAAAATCCACCTCTGAGGGCTGTTCCATACAGTTCTCAATGGTATAATAGCACTGGGCTACAAGCAGTAGTATCCTGTACAGTATGAAATGAACAGCAACCTGTAACCTTCCACATGTGTTCAGCAAGCAAAAATACTCTAACAAATAAAAAAGAATTGATAGCAGTAATGATGAGGGCTTCCAAAGTAGCAGTAAGATCCAGAGGGTTAAAAGACTACCGATCCAAAAAAGCCCAGAACCCACAGGTAGATACAGCAAAATGGTGATGATTTTATGATTTATGAAAAAATGTATTTATCCTATTTGCAGAGATGTATGTACCTGAGCCCACGAACATCCCTATTGAGAAAACAAATCACCGAGGAGATAACGAACTCGAAGCACCAATTTGGCCTACACCCAGTGAAAATGACATTGTCCATCTCCACAGAGGTAAGAGCTGACAAAAGTCATTAACTGTACTTTGTAAGGTCTGTAGTTCCTCCCTATGTTCGTTTGCTGTATGAAAAAGCTAGTTGTTGGCTTCCTTCCATATGTTTACAAAGGTCTAGGCATAATTTCTGCAGGATAAATACAAGTAAACGAA